TCCTCCTCCTCTAGGTCAACTGCAGATTTCCAACTCGTAACTTCTCTTTTGCTTTCCAGTTGATGGCCTGGAGTGTAGTGCTACTTGAAGGTCTCCTCAGCGTATTTCCGATCTATCTCCACTTCTTTATACATATTTGTTAAGCGACAGATTCTTCGTTATTTCGCTACACTGCCAGAGTCTCATATTCCTTATCCTCTCCGAACAACAGGTCATATAACCTTCGGTATCCATCGAAAGGGACCGGTGTTGGTGAAATGCCTTTCGCAACGTGACCAATCTGTGAACCATATAGAAGCGCTGACTTCACATTAGTGTTGAAAATTCGCATTTCATTAGTCGTACTGAGTGTTGTAGATTTCCACATTAGATGGCTGGCTGGCTGGATTCAACAGAGAACTTGGCACCGACGTGTAGCAGTTCAAGTTGCCACGTTCCAAATAGCACACAAAGGTAGACAAGAAAATGAGTGAAGAGAATTAATAGAGTTTTGACAAGTATAAGAGTGAAACAGAATGAGTAATGGTAGAAAGGAACATGGAAGATTACAGAGACTGAATACATCTGCATAAGCCATTGACAACGATTTTGAGCGATGTCACCTATTGTCTCCAGCCATTGATTGATTCTTAGAGTCCCGAGGGCGGGCCCCAACCCGGAAGTCTGCATCTCCCTACCTGACTCAGTTTAACTGTCAGGGATTTCATGGATTGAGGCGATGTTTTTGTTTGGCCACCACTTACTCTTTTCCAACCTGCACTTATATCAGCTAGTCATGCCCGTCGGGGGAGGCGATGGTTAGGCATGCGTAGCAGGTGACCTAGCCATCTCAATCTATGTAACGTGCCACGTTAGATAACTCTTACCTAGTCACTATATGGAAGTAACACAGTATATCTCTTAATCTTGGATCTTCTATATATGTGTACTAATTGATGCAGTTATCTTTTTATTGTTATTCTCATTAGTTTCCTACTAAAATTCAGAGCAGTATACATTTGAAAATGACTGCAGAGTAACTAATCTGTTACAATCCATCCAAAGTTGTGTAAAAATCTTCTTCTATCTAACTCTAAATAAGGAATCTCAGTAGTAGCAGAGAAGACTGAAACCACTGTTCAATCTTTTAAAGGATATGCTATTTCTTGCAATTAATAGTGTTCTCTGATCTGGTTAGTTTAGTTGCGGAGCTTTCGTCATCCCCCTTCTGGACAACATCTCCTTTCAGCGCAATTTTTAGCATAAAGTGAACTGATTTAAATTTTTTCCATGAGTGATAGAATTGCGTCTCCCGGTAACCATCTTTACATACGTATTGATCATTTTCTATGGACTTGGATTTTAAACTTTCTCATCCCATGATTTACTTTTTATTAGCTGGTAGATTTGGTCTATATTAACATGTTTGTTAATAGCATATTCGTTTGAATACCAGGCTTCTATGAATTCCCTAGCACTTTTGTTGTTACCTCTGTTTAAAATTTCGACATTATCTCAATGAAAGTGATGTCCATAATTGTCTACATGCATTGATATGAAAGAATATATATCAGGTATTTTCACAGCTGATTTGTGCTCCTAGATTCTGATTCGAAGGAGAAAACAAAGGTTGTCTAGTGTATTCATGCAATACACTCGGATTCTCTTTTTGATTCAGTTGTCGTTGTAGTCCAAATGTCTCTGACGCTTTATCATATTACTTATTGCTTTTACCTATCTCTTCTTCTGGATCGTCCTTGAGGTACTTATGCGAAGCTAGATTTTGATTTCTTGTCTTCACCAGTTAACTTTCATACTTTGTTTACACGCTGATTCAAAGTTACACGTCCTCTCAGTAACATATTATCGACTATTTAGCGTTTAGAGTCAACGGATACTCTTCCTTATTTCATTTACATTGGTCAGCCTCAATCCCAATATCCATTTACATGGAAACTGCTAAGTAGCACTGTAGCGGGAAGTAGTCCCCAAAAATTACTATTAGTGACTTTCATCATTCAACAGTGGGTGCTAACTTTCACTGTGTAATTGGTTGGAGGGTTTCATCAGGAGCTGATATCAGTTAGAGAAACATTGGAGACCAGCACAGAGTGCTGGACGGCCGTTTTGTCCCAGCTCTTTGAGACTCTTCAGCAGTACGCACCCCAGCCACGGTTCCAACCCAGGACCTTCCGGTGACAATGCGAGCTAGCTCGTGGACCATTCAGCCGCTAGGACCCGATCCAATGGCCAGCCCATGAATTCTAACTTGTGGCAATTCACGACATAGCGCGATCATTTAGCAATGTCTTCTTCGATGAGTTACCGCCTTATCCTCGACATGCTGTACCCTACTGGTCAGGGCTTCTCACTAGAACCCTAGGTTAACTGCCTGAGTAGTAGTTGTTTGGAAATAGTTGACGGGAAACAAGAGAATCAAGGATTGAAAAATGGGTACAAAAAATTAGCATTATCTAACAGTAGGGCGATGTCTTCTGAACGTACCTAAATGAGATGAATTTTGAAACGTGCATAATAACCAAGCTCGTAGTAGGTAATGTTTAGCTGACTCACTCAAGAGTATTAAATGTCTGTTCATGCAGATACTTTTTCTCTGAAAGAAGACAAGTTAACTGGACTGTTAAGATTCAGCTTACTGTCACCATACCTTGTGGTAGGATTTCACTATCAAACACTCGCCATAATACAATTAAGGGGATAGACTGTGCACAAGCACAGGAGCCAATTTCATTTCTGCTCTTATCACACAGCTAAGTATTGTGGGTTAATGAAATCTTTAAAAAAATGATTACATTTATCCAGTGTTACTTACTGGTTCATTGTAGTAATCTAGACTAGCCATGATACCAAGGAAACATCCGTCTATGTCTCATCTTCGTTATTCATCAAGTAGCTGGGAATATCGTGCATTGATGGCTTAATGGTAGGACACTGGCCAACCACACAGGTAGTCCATGGTTCGATCCGCTGCTAACGCATTCCTAATCTCGTTTAACATGTAGTAAACGTGGTAAAGAGGAAAGGTTGGCCGGGATGCTAGCAACCCCATCCCTTAAAAATGCCACTGCTACTGAAACTTTAAAGCACTAGCCTGAAGCCATATATTCCACTGGGAACTGAAATGAATAGAAAAAAGCTGTAAACGTTTGTGAACGATAGTTTGTTGTAACATAAAGCATCTCTTTTGGTACGAAAAAAAATCAGGGATTATTTCATGAAAACTGGTATTGTGCTATATATTACTATTATTATTACCATTCCATTAGATTTCGAGTGGAACAGAGGGCATCAGTGGCATGCCTTCATTTCTCTATGTTTTCTGTAGGCAGTTTTAGCCACCTCCATGATCGGCCATAAGATTTCACTACATTTCTCTCACCTTTGAAGAGATTATCAACTCGTTCACCATTCGATTTCCAGTTGACTGTCCGACTGGCATATGGCGTCACTCAGTGGTCCCCTCAACGTGTGTCTAATCTCTCCCTGAATTTCCTTTGGAATATTTAGTGGGCCACAGGTTATTGTTTGGTCCTTTGCTGGATTTCCTTGTCCCTTATCGTTTCTGAACAGCAATCTGATAGTCAGCATGGAGCAAAGGCAGCTATTGATAAAAGTCTAAATCCTGTTGGAAACGAAATAGAGAGAAGAGGAAGCCTTGGTGTCAAATAACTATCCTATAAAATTCATTAAGAATATCAAAAATGGTCAAAAGCAAAGTAAGACTAATGGTGAAACTAATATTGATAACATAAATAAGAGAGAATATAAGGCATCTGCAGTTTTACCATATTAGGAGGAGACATATAAGGACCTCCCTATGTAGGATTCTCAATAAAGCAGGAATTAGACTGGCAGTCAAACCTACAAACTCACTCAGGTAGGACAGGTTCTGTAGGCTAAAGGAGACTGTCTGTGGACCAAATTCAATTCAGCAAAATAATATAATTTACAAAATACCTTTCGATGACTGTGAGTTTAGTCAACCACATACGCCAATCAAATTAGTAGATCAGGCAGGAGTAGTGAGATTACCTTTCAGAACATAATAATTTAGCTAAGGTTAGAATGATATACCCCACTCGCGAAGATAAGTAATTTAGAAGAAAACTCAGCAACCGCACTGCAAGCATTAACACACAACCACACAATAGGGTAGTTGGGACAGGGTCAAAATTCTAGAGAGAAATATAGGTAGTTAGGTGGAGAGAGAGATTGATTACTGAATCTTGACTGGCTCATCGAGTCTACACCCAACACATGCAACAGAAGTGACTCAACTCAAATACTAGAAATATGGAAGATATTATTACCACCAGTCAAATCAGAGGAGGATAATAAATAATGTTAAAATGTATTCAATTCACATTATAACATTCTAACAAGTTACTTATTTATAGTATAAAATAGTCTTATTTCCCCTCTGATTGTATTTGATTGATAACACTAATACTAATACTGTTTCCGAATGTACTTTATCTTATATTGATTTTAATGAAATGTCTAGTCAATTTTTACTCATTTATATAAACGAAGCAAGAAAGTTGTGTGAGTACCTTGATTAGATTATGAGCGGCGATAAATTGTGCTGGAAATGTGGTCATCAGTAAATACTACTTCATGACAGTGTGTTATTTATCAAAATAAGATTTTATCCATATGGAGTTATACTCTTCCACACTGCCCAAGTTTTATACATATACCAGTTGGAAATTCTTACGGTGACTTTTGCTAGAAGTCTCTGAAACATATAAAAGAACCGACTGACTTGACATAAGTTCTAAAACTCCGAATCTGCAAATAATTATGTACAAAAGTCTATAAAATATACACTCATGCATTCAAGAATATGTGCAGGGGAATTCATTAGTGACCATACCCCCCTTTTTTATAATTTATGGTTATTTAATAATGTGATATAAACCACTACAACAATTTCCTATACTTTTCATCCTTTTGTTTGTTTTTTCTTCAACCAAACTGATGCTTCCCGACCAGAGACAATGTTACCTTCTACTGCCATTGACAAATATCGAATCCCGTTATCATTTGGTTTAATATTCAACTCAACAAAATTATTCCTAAAACATAATCATTCTACATGGTATGGAATTATCGGTTTAGGCTTCACATCATTATTTGTTAAACCACACCAAATAACAAATCATAGCCAAGAGGAAAGAAATGCCATCTTTACTAAATTAAAGATACAACCAACCAAGTCGAAATTGTCTCAACCAATTAGTTATATGGATAAACTGAATCAATTCTGGAAAATACCAAAACAGTTTGGATTATTGTTGTGTGGAACAACGCTGGTAAATTTTATAGTTTTAAAGAGTTGGTTTGTAAGGATTTGATATATGTTTTCGAGTCTGACCAAGGATTGATATTAGTTAGAGAACCATTGAAGAAAAGGGAGTACCGGACGGCTGTTTCGTCCTATTTTTTGAAAACCATCGGTAGTACGCATTCACCACCAGGGCCCGAACTCAGGACCTTCCAGTTGCAAAGCAAGCTCGTAGACCATTCGGCCACTGGGACCCGATTCAATGGCTAACCCATGAATTCTAACTTCTACCAATTCGTGATGCATTTAGCACGACCACCAACCAATGTCACTGGCGGGAAATCCATCCTCACACTTGACCGGAGGGATCTCACTGGTCACTACTTCTCACTAGAACTCCAGGAAACTCTGTCCTGTTGATTAAAAAACAGATCTTTAAATCTTTGATTATTGTTCGTTGTATAATATATATATTATCCTACACACAATAATTACTCATTCTTGATTACATTTCATAGTAGTGTCAAATTCATAGCTTTGGATTAAATGGCCTTTATTTACCGATTTTGAGTACTCGCATTGAACAACAACCCTGAAGCTCCGTTTACATGTTGATCGGTGGTTTCAAGCCACTTTGAAATTAGTTCAATTTATGCAAAGTGACCAAATTAAAATATCACTGTCTGGAATTTTTTTCCGTTCCGCAGTCTACTTAAGAATATGTATGCATAGTTTTAAAGGGATAATGAATAGTGTGTTTGTCTTGGATTCTGTGATAATTATAAGTGAAGTTGAGAAGTGTACGCATTGATTCCCAAAGCCTCAACTGCTCTGCAAAATGAAATCTATTCCTGCTTTATTAATCTTGTATTGTAACGACAGAAGATAAGGGCCAGGCAACAGATCGTTTATTGAGAAAATCAACAGATATTTATAGATTTTTATGTACATTATTATTAGCATTATTGTTAACAGAGAAGCAACGTCTTCTGATTGGTTGTTTTCTTGATAAAGGTTATTATGTACTGTTTGTGACCGTTTCTTGGAAAGTTAAGCCATATATCAGCGAATCGTATTTGCACACGTTAAGTCTGCTGCGATTGGTTGGTTAATTTTTCACGGTTAAGCTTTACTGTGTTTTCTTCTCATGACCCGGATTCGGGACGTAAGCATCAACGCATATTTTTGTTTACAACTTTGGCTAGCAGACACCTCTCATCACAGTATTACTTACTTAAACTCTGTATTAAGGGGACCTGGGCTATTCATCATGTCAAATGAAAGATATGATCACAGAAATACCTTCTACTGAGTTAACATCTTATTGTTCACGGATGCTTATTGTTTCTATCATTTTTGATTAGAGTCTCAGTAGGATAATAACACTCAAATGGAGCCTTAGTTTATTGCTTTCGGCCGTCTACTTTCAAAACAGTGAGACACCGGTTCAAGTCCTGGCACCTCTGTCAAGGTCTGAGCAGACAGGTAGTAACATCAACCCTGACATAATAGTGTGACTCATTGAAAACACTGTGGAATTTCAAATGGTGGTTAAGTAACATTTCAGTAACACTCACAGGGATACAGGACAGTTAAAATGACGGTTGTCAAATGAGAAATAACACAGCATTAGACAGCACTAAGCAGACAGTATCTTAACAAAGTTTGGTCTCTAGGCTCATCTGCTAAGATTTAAGAACATATTGAATTCCTTAGAATTAACAACAGGACGTCAGATAGTTATTTGTAGATAATTTTTGTATACTATTCACGTACAAATTACTTTTTATCACCTTCCACTTTGTTGTTTCGTGGACATTGGGCTTCACAGGTACATTGCCATCACTTTCCCTTCTCTGTAGTCCACCCTGATTTGCCTCCCTCCTAGTGCCCACTAGCTTCCACTTCCTCCTAACACCATCTCCTCTAGGTCCTCCTCCTCTAGGTCAACTGCAGATTTCCAACTCGTAACTTCTCTTTTGCTTTCCAGTTGATGGCCTGGAGTGTAGTGCTACTTGAAGGTCTCCTCAGCGTATTTCCAATCTATCTCCACTTCTTTATACATATTTGTTAAGCGACAGATTCTTCGTTATTTCGCTACACTGCCAGAGTCTCATATTCCTTATCCTCTCCGACCAACAGGTCATATAACCTTCGGTATCTATCGAAAGGGACCGGTGTTGGTGAAATGCCTTTCGCAACGTGACCAATCTGTGAACCATATAGAAGCGCTGACTTCACATTAGTGTTGAAAATTCGCATTTCATTAGTCGTACTGAGTGTTGTAGATTTCCACATTAGATGGCTGGCTGGCTGGATTCAACAGAGAACTTGGCACCGACGTGTAGCAGTTCAAGTTGCCACGTTCCAAATAGCACACAAAGGTAGACAAGAAAATGAGTGAAGAGAATTAATAGAGTTTTGACAAGTATAAGAGTGAAACAGAATGAGTAATGGTAGAAAGGAACATGGAAGATTACAGAGACTGAATACATCTGCATAAGCCATTGACAACGATTTTGAGCGATGTCACCTATTGTCTCCAGCCATTGATTGATTCTTAGAGTCCCGAGGGCGGGCCCCAACCCGGAAGTCTGCATCTCCCTACCTGACTCAGTTTAACTGTCAGGGATTTCATGGATTGAGGCGATGTTTTTGTTTGGCCACCACTTACTCTTTTCCAACCTGCACTTATATCAGCTAGTCATGCCCGTCGGGGGAGGCGATGGTTAGGCATGCGTAGCAGGTGACCTAGCCATCTCAATCTATGTAACGTGCCACGTTAGATAACTCTTACCTAGTCACTATATGGAAGTAACACAGTATATCTCTTAATCTTGGATCTTCTATATATGTGTACTAATTGATGCAGTTATCTTTTTATTGTTATTCTCATTAGTTTCCTACTAAAATTCAGAGCAGTATACATTTGAAAATGACTGCAGAGTAACTAATCTGTTACAATCCATCCAAAGTTGTGTAAAAATCTTCTTCTATCTAACTCTAAATAAGGAATCTCAGTAGTAGCAGAGAAGACTGAAACCACTGTTCAATCTTTTAAAGGATATGCTATTTCTTGCAATTAATAGTGTTCTCTGATCTGGTTAGTTTAGTTGCGGAGCTTTCGTCATCCCCCTTCTGGACAACATCTCCTTTCAGCGCAATTTTTAGCATAAAGTGAACTGATTTAAATTTTTTCCATGAGTGATAGAATTGCGTCTCCCGGTAACCATCTTTACATACGTATTGATCATTTTCTATGGACTTGGATTTTAAACTTTCTCATCCCATGATTTACTTTTTATTAGCTGGTAGATTTGGTCTATATTAACATGTTTGTTAATAGCATATTCGTTTGAATACCAGGCTTCTATGAATTCCCTAGCACTTTTGTTGTTACCTCTGTTTAAAATTTCGACATTATCTCAATGAAAGTGATGTCCATAATTGTCTACATGCATTGATATGAAAGAATATATATCAGGTATTTTCACAGCTGATTTGTGCTCCTAGATTCTGATTCGAAGGAGAAAACAAAGGTTGTCTAGTGTATTCATGCAATACACTCGGATTCTCTTTTTGATTCAGTTGTCGTTGTAGTCCAAATGTCTCTGACGCTTTATCATATTACTTATTGCTTTTACCTATCTCTTCTTCTGGATCGTCCTTGAGGTACTTATGCGAAGCTAGATTTTGATTTCTTGTCTTCACCAGTTAACTTTCATACTTTGTTTACACGCTGATTCAAAGTTACACGTCCTCTCAGTAACATATTATCGACTATTTAGCGTTTAGAGTCAACGGATACTCTTCCTTATTTCATTTACATTGGTCAGCCTCAATCCCAATATCCATTTACATGGAAACTGCTAAGTAGCACTGTAGCGGGAAGTAGTCCCCAAAAATTACTATTAGTGACTTTCATCATTCAACAGTGGGTGCTAACTTTCACTGTGTAATTGGTTGGAGGGTTTCATCAGGAGCTGATATCAGTTAGAGAAACATTGGAGACCAGCACAGAGTGCTGGACGGCCGTTTTGTCCCAGCTCTTTGAGACTCTTCAGCAGTACGCACCCTAGCCACGGTTCCAACCCAGGACCTTCCGGTGACAATGCGAGCTAGCTCGTGGACCATTCAGCCGCTAGGACCCGATCCAATGGCCAGCCCATGAATTCTAACTTCCGCCAAATCATGACATAGCGCGACCATTTCGCAGAGTATTCTTCGATGAGTAACTGCTTCATCTTCGACCCTACTGGTGACGGCTTCCCACTAGAACGCAGGTCACTGTCTGAATAGGACCAGTCGCTAGTGAGCATCAGATTAATTTGCATATATTGGTTTTTGTAGGCATTTAGTTCGATTGATTTGAGGATTTCATCGTTAGCTGACATCAATCACAGTAAATCCCTAAAAGAGCCAATACTTGAAAATTTCACTATTTAGATCAACTGATTAGGCTGAGTTTGCTGGATAGATCAATCATGCCACTCGACATGCTGTCGTGTTACTCTCGGTTGTTCATGCATACAATCATCAGTGTTCCACACTTCTGATTCCGAAATATAGTAAGCATTTTGGACGATTAATTTATTGTTTTAACTTGACTCTGGTCTACATAGAACAAGAACTTCTGGAGTTGGAAGATGTATACTTGCTTCCTCCCAGCTTAACTACAATTGTATTCCGGATGAAATCTTACTTCTAAAAAACAACATTTGCATTTGACAGTTAATCTAAATATAATGCTTTGGTTTCAGGAACTGTGATTCATATTACACAGTGGCTTATTCTAAATGAGACATATAAGGACACTTGTCATTCTGACTGAACGCTACATAGTAAGCAACTAATGTCATGCGTCTAGTCCTTTATTCGGTTTAGACTGAATTCTATCAGTTACGCCTGCAGAAACGCCTTACCGATGAGTGTCAATAAGCAAGAAACCTAGGTCACAGACTTCTTGGCGATTACCTTCAGCGATATGAATACCAAATTGGGAGTAGATAATACAGGAAGAGAAATCAT